AGTTTGCGAGTGAGCTTCTAGTGCTGCTGCTTCTTCCTCATCGCTGACAACTTCTTTTGGTCGCTTTTCGACAGGGGCAGACTCTAATGTCTGTCTTTCTGGCACTTTTACTTCCTGTTCTCCTTGATCATCCAGTTGCTCAGTCGTAACGACAACCGTTTTTTTCACCTCTTTCTCCTCCAGGACATTCATCATACCGTCATCTATCACCGTTTCTCTAATCCTCTCGGTCGTCTCTATCACTTTCTTCTGAGCGCCTTGCCCGCGTTGTTTCACTGCTCTCGTTTCGCCAGCTGGAGTTGGCAAGCTCCCTTTCGTAGCTTCTATCTGCAGTATGGGTTTCAACACCTTCGAGAGCAGGCGAAGGTGGGGGTTCTGGTTGAGATGCGGCTAGAACAGATAAGTCAACGAGTTTCTCACGAGTTAAGTAATTGGGCGGGATCGGCGAAAGAAATTCTACTTCTTCAGGTGGAACGACACGTTCGCCAGAGTTCTAAAATGAAGAAGTTGCTGTGACAAAAAAGACAGTCAGTGTTACGAGGATGTTCAGGCTACGTTCCTATTTTGCAAAGCGTACCTGTAATCCTGCAACTGGCTCAGGTGCTGCATCCATTGGTCTTCGTTCTTGCACCTGGAAGAGCTTGCCTTGAATGTTGATTGTGTGGCGGGTTTGTACAACGCGGAACTTACCTGAACCATGTCTTCGCTCACAGGTTCCCCTTTGATCATCGAAAGCGCTGCGCCCATGCGGTAGAAGTAATGTCAATGAGTTATGGTGTTGTGGCAATGGGCTTTTATATGAGAGATTTATCAGACTTGGATAAGCTTCAAGGTCGAAGCTCATTCGACCTTGACCGGTCTAATGACTGATTGGATTCAATCGAGAATACTAAGTTGACTACCCCGTCTAGACTGACTATCTCTTTGTATAAGTGGAGGGAACGCTCATTTGATTACTGTACTGTGGTAGTACTTTTGACTTCATTGATCCTTAGCTTATGTTGCATTTAGAGCAGAAGCACGGAACCCGCTTTTCCACCCACTCTTGAGGTTATTTCTATAGGAAACAAACTCATGAATGAGTTTCTGGATGTATGCTACCGTTTAGAAGCTTATTCTCCCCTCATTCGTTTTTAAAGAACTTTCACATGAATTTCTTCCAACGACCTATTCAGCCAAATTTCTGCTGCCAAGTATACTGCTATCAAAGACAGCGTCAACTGACGATGGTACAGAGGCTTCTTTAATGTATAGATGGCAGAGTCCCTAATACAGATGATGTCCTTATTCACACTTCAAAAGAGCTAGATAAAAGCACGCCGGTTCGGGGACAGAAAACCTCACCGGTGGCCAACGTGAGTCTTTCCTTGGCGGCTTCACTCATTTTTCAAAGTTTTGTTGTCACCGAGGAATCAATCTCTTTTTAAATCGCTCATAGAGCAGTATTTGGTTACTGCGCCAGGAAAAGAAATCAAATACCTCATCGAATTCAAAACATCAGTTGCATCACAGGCAAGGCATTGCAAGTAATCGTTAGGAGCAAAGTGGTGACATTTTCATACCAACCAATGCCTTCTCAGTCGCTATCCTACTTGCTGGGCCGGTGGCATCTTGAACTTTTGTGCATGGTCCTGTTGCGAAATCAAGAAACGCAGACAAATAGAGGACAGCGCCTGCCAAAGCATCGAGACGTGCAAGAAACTATGGCGAGCCAGGAAACGAGCTTTTTCAAGGGGAGGGGACTCCGGGGTGGGTGAGCCACTTATCATACGTGAAAAGCTGGAATGTGCGAAGTCACAATGACCATAGAGTGCCACGCGGACGAGAGAGAGCAGAGAAAAATACAGATTCAACGCGTTCAAAGGGATTGAGTTCAAGTTGTCCGTGGACCGGGACGGTGGTATAGTGGTAAGTGTCACGCATACCACTGGTCCGGGGGTTGAAGAGCAGG